CACAGCCCAGTTTTTATTTTTATGATTTATACACATACACAAAATTAAAAAGGGGTTGAATTGATATTTCGCAACCAACCCCCCCCCCCACAGCGGGGGGGGGGGGGGAATTCTGGGTGTTGAAGTCCACCCATCTTAAAGTTGCTGAGGTTGAGGAACCCTGGCTTAGATAACACAGTGCCTGGTCCTAACACTTGTGTCCACGCTCCAAAGTCCAGGGGCAATGCCAGGACTTTTCATCAAAGTCTGAAACTGCAATTCCATGACTCTGTTTTGGAGTCAGGGGCTTTGAAAGTGACCTTGACCAGATGCTATACCCACTCACCAAAAAATTCCAGGGCCTGAGAACTGTATTGGTAAGTTAGTGCTTAACCGAAACAATTCTGAGGGTTTTCCTCCTCTCCATGACTTCTAAGTAAAAGTGAAAAACAAGCCAGCTAAATATTATTATGATTCAAAGTGAGTTTTCTTAATTTGTGCAGGAGAAATCAAACTGTGTCACCTAAACTTCTTGGAATAACAGTGGTTTTCTGCATTGTCACTACAGTCCCTGAATAAGGAGATTGAGTCTATTAGGAAAAAAAAAAAAAGACTTGGGTCACTCCATTTGGTACATTGATGGTAGAGTATATTGAGCAAAAACAGTAGGCATTAAATTCAGTGACCAAGTGAAGCCTATTGTGACAACCCAACCTGCAAGAGGACTACAGGAGAGATTTTTCAACATAGAGCAATGGCTTAACAGACAAAGCTAATTGGGATTCAAAGCAGCAAACAATAAAAAAAAATCTAAAAATATTTTGCCAGGATATTCGCTTTCAAATATTTGCACAATTAGTAATCAAAGGAATCCTAGATGACACACCCTACAGAAAAGAGACGTCTGGAATAGAAACCTGTCTGTATATTTGGGGATGGTTTTCCACAGTGAATTTTAAATAATTGCATCCAGTTGCTAAGATAGTTCATGTATTTCATTCCTTAATGTAAATGTGTTAGTTGTGCTGGGGGTGTATTTCTCTAAGTCACCCATTAAAGAAAATAAGACACCTAATTGTCTAGGAAAAAAGCTTCCACTGGTTTCAGTGGGACTGTCCTGATAGGAATGTTGAGAGAAATTTATCACCACGAAAGACCCTGGAAATAAATCACAGAGGAATTTGCTATGTTTTGATTGAGCAATGAGCGCCTGACGATTTTCTGCATTGCAATGTTGTGACAGTGAGGTTCTGGTTAAACTTCTTTGCCCTTCATGAGATCAACCAGATTAGTTTATTAGTTTTAGGCTGATCCATCCCATCATTATTCCTCTGATTTCAGACTCTGGATTTCAGATTCTGGACTATGGTTCTTCACAGAGTCATAGGACAGAAATCCACCTGATATGTTATAAATGCCCTAACAGGAAACATGACATGACTTTATGAGATGAAGATGAAAATCCAAAGTGAAGATGAAAATAGACTGATCTATCTTTTATTGTAGCATAAACGGTGTGAGTTTCTCCCATATCCTGCCTTTCTTCTTTGCCATTCATGAGATCAACCAGAGTCCAAGGCTCTTACCCAACATCACCCTGGACTACAGCATCTATGAGAACTTCTTCAGTGCGAGAATAACACACGAGGCCATGATAGACTTGCTTTCTACCGGGCAGGAGAATGTGCCAAACTACAGATGTGGAAGATCCAAAAATCTGTTGATGGTGCTGGAAGGGACAGATTCTGAGCTCTTCATTCACTTTTCAACCATGTTGGGCATCTACAAAATCCCACAGGTATGAATGGATGTTGAAGCTAGTTCCAGTTTGCAAAGTCTCAGGAGATCACTGCAGTCATTAGACTTCCCTCAAAGAAAATGGTTGAAAAAGCAGACTCCCCCCCCCTTTTTCCAACCACATCCAGATGAAACCAAGAAATGTAATGTAATAATAGAATAGAATAGAATAGAATAGAATAGAATAGAATAGAATAGAATAGAATAGAA